ACCATGAGGTCTCTGGAGACCAATCATTCAGGGTGTAATAAAATCCGACTGGAGGAAAAAAGATGCACCGCGCCTCTTTACTTTCTATTCTTCTCGCGCCAATAAAAAAATTATGACTCTCATTTAAAATGCATTTATCGAGACAGTAATAAGATGGAAAATTTTTGAAGGAGCTCCATTGCGCCTCATCAAAAAATCAACTTTGTTTTTTCTCTTCTCTCTTTTTACATTCGTTTAATTTTTTATTTTATTTAACCTTTTGTTGTTTTACTCTTTAAGGGAGGAAGTGAAGCTATTAAAGTTTCAAGCGCATAGAGAAAATGGGTGGGGAAATAATAATTAGAGGAAAAATTGTCACCAAAAACCTTAATTATTACTCTTTATGTAATCAGAAGAGCTTTTGGGTTAATTTTTTATTGAGGCGACGCGGTTTTTTCTCGAGTTAGGTGTGCATGTAATGATGTGTCTGTGTAATGAAACTTTTTTTTTATCTCATCATTTATGAACACTTTTTCCTCAATTGTAATAATGTTTGTTGTCGTCGGTCATATTTAGCTAGAGACACATTTTTTTCAGACGCTAACAAATATAAACAGGAAAGGAACCTTTTCCCAATACCCTGCTTTCCTACCGGATATTCCGAAAAAAAATGTACGGTTTGTTGTGTATAGTAACTCTTATATTCTTCCTTCCGAAAGTTGGTGACACTGCTTCTCTACTATCAAGAAGTAGCTATTCAAAGTTTAAATTTGTTATTTTCTAGAAGTAAAATTTTGGAATTAAAATGCAAATTCACGCTGACTATTGGCATGAAATGAACTGAACCAATCTTACCGTATCGATAGCAGAGGTTGAAAAATGCGTATATCGACGGTGAAACTACCAAACCACGTATCTCGTTTGCGGTGTTTAAAAATCTACGCTCGCATTTTATTTTTTTGAAGTAGACCAAATCAATATCATTCCTTGAAATTTTCACAGAATTTTTTCCGCACGAAGAGGAAAAATCACAGAAATTTTCAAGACTGGACGTTCAGTAGTTTTTCATTTAAAAAATAAAGTATGACAGGAAGTCTGCGACGTCGCAAACCGAGATAAGTGGTTTGGTAGTTTCACCGTCGATATATCCGATTGCGAATTTCCAAGTCTCTACTCATGTTCTCTTGTTTAAAAAAAGAAAGGAATCTGACCAAAAGTGTTTCTTAAAATTTCTTTGAATTTTCTCTATTAGATCCTCAACTCAAAAATATCCTCAAAAGGTGGCTAAGAAGTATTTTGATTTCTTTAAAAACACTTATTTTTTTAAAATGTAAAATAGGATATTTTTTTAACGTTGCAATGAAGATTAATATAACCATGGTTACCCTTCCTCAAAGAAGAAAAAGATTTTCGTCGAAAACTCGATCTCCGATTTTTTAACCCAGATCGATAGTAATTAATCCCCCGAAAATCGCCCGATGGGAAAATCCCCCTATAAAACTTTCATTTTTCAGGAAACGTATGAATTATTTTTCCTTGAAATTTTCAGATACCGTAGACTAAACTGCGAATGAAATTCTCTGAAAAATTAGTAAAGAGATGCACACAAATTTTCCTGGAAATTTGAATTTTATCAGTGGAAATTTGGCAACGTCTGATGGCCCTTACAGCGTTTTTCCTTAGCACGGCAGATTTGCGGTGAACAACAATGATCCTGTCTCAAATATATTCTGTCGTGACGTTTTGTGGTCATGAGGTTAAGGTTTAGAAGTTTGTCTTGTCATTTTCTGAGCGTAATCAGCGCGTTTAACAAGCTTATGTCAGCATAGCGTGGGGGTGGGAGACAATTTCATTTGAGCGGTCATCGTCAGAGTAAAATAACAGTCACCCAGTCCCTAGCTAATCTCACGTCGTGCAAGTATCCCTTCATTGCAATGGTTGAGTAAAAAAGAGGAAGAAAAAACTCGTCACTTCCGTAGAGAGAAAGCCCCTCCCCTTTTCCTCTCCAAGCTTTCTTGAGCGAATTCTTCTTGCCTTGAAATAATTTTTGTGTGCATTAAGGTACACATATAAAAACGTTAAACGGGGGAAAAAAAGACAAAACGACCAATCAGCAGCTTTTTTCTCTTTTCCCTAGACCAGTTTATTTTATTTTATTTTTGTTTTATTTGTTCAATGATGGAATTTCATGTATCTATTTCACTGAGAATCACCAAAGGCATCTCCATTTTCAGAGTGATACCGCTGTCTCAATTTTCGAAAAATTGAGCTAAAAGGCGTTTTATCCATGAGTAATTGCATGTGCCGGAAAGTTTAGTCGAAAAATATATAGACTTGATGAAAAGCGCGTAATTGACCTGAGATATGATCTTTTTCTTTTTGGTCACTGAAACATCCCCGAGTGAATAATAGGGAAAAAGGCCAGTGTGAGGTGTTATCAAATTCTTGACACATGCCAGGTTTGTGGAAAGTTCATCGAAAATAGGAAAATTATCAGGGAGTTCGATGAAATCTGTTCGAGGTCTCATGTATTCCGATTCAAAGAATGAACGCAGTGAGAGAAGAAGAGGAAAAAGTAAAAGGAGGGGAATATTTATGATTTTAGAGGAAAGGCCCTCTCTAATTCTCATAAATACTCGCCGGAATTTTTTCAGAGATATATATTTACCATCGTATTAATCTCAACTGTCTGACCTCATGAGTTCAAAGCTTGAGAGTATCGCCCGGAGATAGTCAAAATAATTCATTTAAAATTTGGATCACTGGACTATAACTCTTGTTTATTTTTACCCTTTCCCTCACTGCCTGCAATTAACTATTCTGAAATATCGAAGTTTTTAAAGGATCAACGCATTTCGACGGTGAAACTACCAGACCACGTATCTCGTTTGCGGTGTTTAAAAATCTCCACTCACATTTTATTTTTTTGAAGGAGATCAAATCAATATCATTCCTTACAATTTTCACAGATTTTTCTCCGCTCAAAGAGGAAAAATCACGGAAGTTTTCACGAATTGACGTTGAGTAGTTTTCTATTTAAAAAATAAAGTATGACAGGAAGTCTGCGACGTCGCAAACCGAGATACGCGGTTTGGTAGTTTCACCGTCGATTTGCGTTTTAACACTATGTTACATGATAAAATGGAAGAAACCTCTTAATTTCATCAGTCTCGCCTAAAATCTCTAGTAATTTATGTAGGAATCTGACTGATAATATGCTCCAAACAGCATACAAAAATCAACAGAAATGAATCTAAAAAGCAAAGACCCTTTTTAAATAATATACAATTTCGACCAGACCGAAGGAGTGAAATCTCAAAACTTACCTTAAATTCCCAGAGGATTTGGGAGCACCCTAATAAAAATTACAATGGATGTCTTAATATTTCTGCTCTGAAGTAATAGTGAAGGTGGAATTACAATGTAAAATTCAAATAGAAAGTAGGATTTTGGTTCTCGAGGGAAGGATTATGTGAGACTTCGGCTGGAATTTTAAGACTTTCCTTGAAACCTCTTTGACTTAAAACCCCCTCGAGATCACCTCAAGTAAAAGTATGTTCATTTACACAAGGAAAGTTTAATTCGGCGGAGTTACAGAGAGCGTCATAAGATTGCGGTCTTTTGCGCTCCTCCAGGGTTGTGCGCGTCAATTTGAAATTTCCCGGGGTTTTTCAAATTTATGGTGTTGCAAAAAAGGAAAAAACGCGGGAACCAATCGGAAACAGCGCTCGGGACAGCGAGAAGAGCGGGAACCGCGGGAACTTAAAATTATTTGTTTACAACCTTCTTAACCTTACTTTTCCATGTTTTCTTTGCTCATTCCTCACCTCTGAAGTTATTTTCGATTTTTCTTCAAAAAATGTAAGTTATCGTTGAATGTTTATTTTAGAGCTGCTGTTTCGGGCTTTACCATTGTCATTTTCTATATATTAATTCTCGTTCCAAAAAATTTATCACATACCATTAGATGCAAAGCATGAATCCTCTACATTCACAGCTTAGACCTCTGAGTTCATTTAATTTCAATCGGAGGTAGGACTGGCAAGAAAACCTATTAATTACGGTCAAATTTGACTTCGGAAACGGAAATTCTGCCGAACATTCAATGCAGTAGGATCGGTTCATCTTAAGGCGGAACAATGTCACAAGATCTCATTCATGCTGGTTAAAAAGATCTAAAACTGAATTTTGTCAGTCATAGAATCAAGTGAATTTTCAAGTGAATTTGCAAGTTTCCTCTTATTATGTCTGAAGTTCTCAATCGACTCCATCTTAAACTTTCTATTGCAAGTTTGTATCATTAAGGTGATTCGTTGGATGCCATATTATGTGTCAGAACGGCATGCGATATATTGCATTAATTGGTTCTATTTATTCAGCCCTCTAATCATTTTTCTCAAATTTTGAGATCGCAATTCTGTTGTCAGGAGACTAAAGCACTCACTTACCAATTTTAACAAATTCAACGTAATAAAGGCATGGTTTTTTTAGAGAGAGAGTATTGCATTCGAGTGCAGTTTCGATATCGGTATCGAATACAATGTTTTCTCTCTAAAAAAACCATGCCTTTATTACGTCGAATTTCTTTGTTAAAATTGGTAAGTGAGTGCTTTAGTCTCCCGACAACAGAATTGGGTTCTCAAAATTTGAGAAAAATGACGAGTAGCTGAATAAATGGAACCAATTGATGCGATATATCGCATGCCGTTCTGACACATAATATGGCGTCCATCGAATCACCTTAAAGTGAACTCATGGCCTGATGCACTTTGCATCAAGGCCCTGTAGGAGGAATCAGAGAAACTTTTCCTCCACAAAGAAATCCCACCTAGTCATGGACCTGAACATTTTGCACGAATACATAAGACAATAAGAAGTTGAAGTGATGAGTTTGTCTTATTCAGCAGAAATACTTATGTAACTCTTCTGAATGTCACGCGTTTTTACAGGAGTGGATGATATTTAGTCTTCAAGTTGCCTTTCGCCAATGCCTGAAAAATGTTTATTATCTTTGCCCACAGTGATGTCCACAGAGGATAATGAACCAAACTGGAACAAACTATTAGAACAGGATGACACCACGACGAACTCCTCAAAACATAATGGCTCTGTTGGAATAGATATTCCTCCAAGTGAAGAGGCAACTGAATTGGACAGATGTATCAGTCAAAGCGAGGCAGAGCAAACCAAATTTCTTCCTACAACGAATGACTCCACGAATCTCAAGAATGGGATCAACACTCATGGTGTGAATACAATACAGATCCTAACAGGGAAAAACAAGGATATTACTCTCACCTCAAACGACAAGAAAGACAAATTCAGGCCGTATTCATTATTCCCTTGTTTCAATTTTAGTTCCAATAGTACAAATTTTTCTACAGGAAAAAGTGAAATACCAAACAGCCCTCTCATAAATGGCACAAAAGTTTACATGACTAACAACCGAAAAAGTCAAACAGATGTCAATGCAGAATGGAAGAGCATCAAAAGTCATACAAATTCCCTCCAGAAGAGCTCAAAATTCATTCCAAGATGCAGTAAGTATCAATTTATTATGTTTCCACTTAGAAATTTAAGACATTTTTATCTTCCAAGTAATATTGTTCAGGTTGAATTATGTCTGTGATTCACCTTTGAGTGATTGGTTTCTTTTCAAGACTTAAAGATTGATGAATTTTGCAGAAGTTAATTCTATGGAAGTGATGTTACGTAATGCGCATCTAACTTAATCATTAATCTACTCTTTTTCAAAGTTATGACACTGATTTATCACCACAAGAGAGTCTTTCCTAATCGTATTAAAATTTCTCTTATCTGTTGCTATTTTTTTTCTCTCTTTTCTGTATCTACAATCGGAAAGAAGACAGAAAAAGTCTGTAACAAACGTCTTCTAATTAGTCTATTCTTTGACTAATTACTTTTAGGTATCAACCAAATTGCTTTGCTCCGATTGCTCACTCCAACTCCCCCCTCCTCATCTTTTTCTTCATTTGTATGACCATACGGTTTAAGACAGATTTTCATGTTCTGAAGGATCGCATATTGCATCTATTATTAACTTGTTTTGAATGAAGGTATAAAAAGTTGATACTTATAAATTATTTATTACAAATCCAAATGCATTTCGGTCCTAGGAGCCATCATCAGTGGAATACGTAGGCGCACAATATACAAGCAAAGATACATGCAATTGTAAGCAGTTTGATTTCAAAATTGGTATGCCTATACCAACCATTGCATGTATCCTTGCTTGTGTATTGTGCGCCTGTGTATCCCACTGATGATGACCCCTAGAGCTGATATGCGTTTGGATATGTAATAAATAATTTTAAGCATCTTCTTAATATACCCCCATTCAAAACTGATTTTCAAGATAAAATTGTACTTTCTGATTATACTGCAAGGAATATATAACTCTCATTCAATCTGTTATGGAGAGGGAGATCTCATGTCTCTGATGAGGAAAGATTGAGTATTTTCATCATCAATACCCTATTTAAACCTATCGAAAAGTAACTATAAGAATGTTGGCCCTCAAATTTGAAGACTCTGCAGCCCTCCTTTCTTAGGCATTTCATGAAAGTTGACTTTGAATTTGCATCTTCAAGTCAAAAATTCTATGAACTGTGAACCATGTGACTGAAAAAGTTTCAGAACCTTGCAACTAAGTAAGGAATAAAAATGAGTCACACAATTTTAATATTGAATTTTCCTCGTCAATTTTTGCTCGCACCACATGATACCTACTTTTTAAAATCTTTGTAATGTAATTCTGAAGTACCGCAAACTTGAGTTTATCCTGCTGCTTGTGGTAGGGTTTTTTTGTTTGAAAAGAGACATCATTCTTTCTTTCTTTTCGAAAATGATGAGTTATAATTTCAGAAATTCAGGGTATGGTTTATCTCGTCTTAGAGTTCCCAGTTCTCTCTTTCACCCTCATTCATATTTTGTATACAAACCTATCTTCCTCACACCAAACATCTCAAATAATTTAAATAAGTACGCCTAAATGTCGTGAACAGTCTATTTTGCTGTATTGAATATGACTATATAATTTGCCAGACAGAATACATTCGGTTTTTGAATATTTAATGTCAGAGAGGGAGAGACATAATGGCACCAGGAATGACTTCCTCCAGCAAGATAATTCCATACTGATCATTAATGCTGACCCCCTCCAGTATGTCAATTTCTCTGTTGTATCACGTACTTTGCAACATGAAGTGCTTTTTTAGTTTCTGTCATTCTGATCTATTTTTGACCAGCTAAATCTGGGGATCATTCAAAGTCATGGATATAAGTGTCAAAAAAATTTTACTCTTTCATTTTGGTCTGTTCAATATTGAATCATGTGTTTTTTTTTCATGAATCAATAGGCAGAGTGAAATGATTATTTTGTCATTTAAAAACTGTGCACACCATAGTAATATTTTACGCAGAAAACGATTTTTGCTGTGAAAGTTTTAAGCTTAGAAGTGAAAACATAATGAATATGACTAAATTCTGCATTACAGTATAAATTTTCCCATTTCAAAAAATGAACATTCATCTAGTTTATTCAGTATAATAGTGTGTAACTTTTGCTTTTTTTCTTTCAGATTGTTGGCTGATTATACTTTACCTAGGTCTCGTGCTCACATCTTTATTATGTGGCGTGATGTGGTTTACAAATGTCTACCAAACTGAAATAGCAAAGGTAAGTTTCAAATGCCTTGGGGTATCATATCATTTTTCCTCCATAACATTAGCATTTTATTCACTTGCTGTTTATTGAATAAAATAAATTTTCTCCTTTTATTTGACATCATAACTTGGTTTTATGGTGAATTACTTTTGAGTTTGCAGACTTAAACAGCCAAACATATGTATAATGCGGCCAGAGTTTATTGAAAAAAATCACCAAGACTAAATGAAAGAAGCGGACAGCTGCGGTTAAAATATTGACATCTGAAAACACAGGATAATTATTTATCCCCTTCCAAACCAGAAGCAGTCTTCTGAACGTGCAAGTTATTATGATGTTCAGCTCTGGTTTCCTCTCCTTGTAGCACTGTAGAAAAAAATTGGAAAGTGGTGGCAGTCTCAAATTTGTTTACACCGTAACATAGGTGAATACAAAATGGTGTCAATATTCCCACAAAGTCTGAAATTCAAGGTATGACAAACGGAAGTTTTTGTCAGTAGTTTTGGCATTTCTCATCAAAAAGCAATTTTAGATATTTTAAAGTCGGTATGATTTTATTTCTTAAGCCACACCATTTTTTAAAGAATTAATGACAAAAATGTCTGCATGCATTTACGTTATCGACCTCTTTTCAAAATATCCAACATGCTGACACCTCGATTTTTTCCTCTGCTGTGATGCAAGTTTAATGAGAAACTATTGCTTTTGCTCTGGATGGTATATTCATGAACAACATTTTCACTAAAAAGGTTGTTGGTTTCTTGTTTCTAAAAAAACCTCAGCTCATTTATGCTTTATCTTTATCTTCTGTTGCTTTACTCTGACTAGTTTGTTTTCTCTTCCTTTTTAGAAACTGACGCTTTACAATGGTAGCTTGCTGATGAATAATTGGGCCAATTCATCTGTGAAACCAAATGTGTGTGTTTATGCATTTAATTACACCAATGCAGATGAGTTCCTTACATCCAATGATGACAAAATGAGGCTGAAAGTGCAAGAAGTTGGTCCATATTGCTACAAGTAATTGTTATTTATCTATTTCTACTAGCTCCTTATTATTAATGTTTTAGCAGCATGTTCGGTAATCTATCGCATAAGACTAGGTGATTTGTCATGTTTGAATCTATTGTGATTTTTGAATGCTAAGTGATGCTGATAGTGGGTGAATTTTTCAACCAATTTAAGGCAGAAATAGATGAAATAACAAAATTTTCAAAAAAATTAGAAATAAGATGAACCAACTTGTAGGAAACCGGCAGAAAAAAATTGTATCCACTATACTTTGAACTAAATCATTATCACCGATTGATACCATTCTCACTCACAAATAACTAAATCATTATCACTGATTGATACCATACTCACTCACAAATACGCACCATGAACTTAATTTTCAATCGCAGAAACTCTAGTTGAGAGAATTGTTGTTCACCATTTACAAATGGAAACAAGGATTTTTGAAGCATAGCAGAAAATTCATGACATTCATTGGCACTGATTGCATCAATTCGATTTACAGATCAATTTAAAGTTTTAATTGATAGAATTTAACAGTTTTAGATGAGACCCTTGAGGTAGTTGGGAATGATGAAAGACAAGTAAACAACCAGCAAGTATGATGCAAAAATATACTGTTGTTCATCGCAGAAATTCGCCTATATGTAGTCATAGTAGCACTTATCAGATGGTTATTTGCAATAGCTGATAAAAATAAATCAACATTTGCACAATTTATGGTAAACAATGAGTTGCAGGGAATCATTTTACTGTGAAAAATAGATGTGGGCATGAATTGTTTGTATTGTATGTTTGCCATAGCAATTTTTTGGCAGAAATTCTTAGAAAAGCCCCAAGGGCTCATAAAGCAAATCTTCTCACTCCCTTGTTGTGAGCAGATTTAAAAAGAACAAAGCAGCAAGTGGAGGCCTCCCACCCTTTCATTGCTGCAGAAAAGGTGAAAGAAATCGAGGAGTCAAAGAAAGTGTAAACATATCCCAATAATTTTATATTTATTTGACCAACAACTTTGATTCACACTAAACAACACACACGACGCCCCCCCCCCCCATCCTTGCTCCAAGGCAGCTTAATTTGCCTTTGTTACTCGTCGCGAGATTTTATCAGAGTTGGAGTGAAGTTTGATTGCTTTCCCTGCCTGCAGATAATGCGGCGATGATTCATACCGCATTGTCAATGCCAATGAAGCCCATCTGCAGCAGGAAGTGAGATGATCTATCTTAAAAATGTACACCATTCTTTCATAAGTACTTTTTGGTGTGGCTAATGTGGTCCAGTGTTAGTGTCAAGGGTGCAAAATTTCAATGACTTTTCGATTCTAGTACCTGTAGGATATGCTTACCAGCAAAATCCTACCAGATGAAAGAAAAAAGCTTTTCGGTTATCTCTCCTGTCATCAACATCCAATAAATGTAAAACATCAAGTTACCGATTGAATTCTGGTTGCTGACCAGAATAATAGGTTTATGTGGAGTTTTCAGAATATGTACAAGCAGAACTTTGTCCTTAATGGAGAATTTGCACGCAATTATTTTATTGCTTCATTTGAAAGTGCTGATAGAGCTGATTTTGCAGTATTTTTTAAAATTTTTTTTGGATATGGGAAAAAGTATAAAAATAGATTTAGAATTTGGAAAATGGGCCGCCTAGTGACGTCATCTGGCGACATTTCCCATTTAAACGCATGTATTTTAGCAGATTAGATTATTTTGTCATATCTCCTCCAATAATTTCCCAATTTATGAACCAAGGGTATCCTCGTGTTCAGCTCACTTGGGACGTCCATTCAATCATGGAATTCATCAAATTTCAGACACCTGCAAATTCTTCATCAGGGAAACTAGCTGTAACATTGTTGCCTGTTCCCAGAAAGGGCCACAGATCTAGTCAAATCTGTCGGAGTCAAATACTCTTCGCTTTAATTTTTTCAAAGATTTCTTTAGCTCCGTAGTGGTTTACTTTTTATGGTAGCTCCTTAGGATTGTATTGATACTTACACACTTTTCCTAATAATTGCTGCTTTTCTGTGCCTTTATTTTTCAACTTTCCCATGGGTGTTTTGAGTTTTTTTAAATACTTGTGCCTGATCCAATATTTTTCATTGTATGATGAGAACAGAGATAAGTGAAACTTTTTCTGTACAAGAGTCATATCAAAATTAGGGATGGTGAAACAAATTTTAATGGAGAGTCATTCTCGGACCTGTAATATTTTTCATAGGCGTTAGCATTTTTTTTCAAGAGCCCTTGTTCAGTTTGTATTATTTATTGTGTCTTTGTAAATTTTTTGTCATCAAATTCTAATTTCAATAACATCTGCCCTCAGGGAATCTGTGTTGCGGACGAACGTTGTGTTCAATGATGATGATGGAACAGTGACATTCAGTGAATTTAGATCTCATGAATTTGATGAAGATGCTTCTCGGGGAAACAAAGATGATCTCTTGACTTTACCAAACGTTCCTGTCATTGTAAGTTAATTCTCTTCAATACTTGCATGATTTTCCATGTGAATGAAAAGAGAGGAAGGAGCAGAGTTGCCGCAATTGGACATATTTCTATCAAACAGAACTATGTGCATTATGACGTGAGCCCTGTTATGCATGTATTCTTATGGGTCTCGGGGCTCATGTCTGAATGCACTTAGTTCTGTTTGATAGAAATATGTCCAATTAGAGAATACTAAGAAATCTCAGGAAAAATAACAAAAAAGTCAGGGAAAATTATTCAAATCATCTTTGTTCGTGTTCTAGATTGAATTTGACGTTTCAAACAACACATTCTTGCAAAAAATATTTCCAATTCTGTTTTTATATCCATCTGGCTTTCCCTCAAATGTCAGAGAATTTTACCAAAATGTAGCAGAGAATTGAGAAAAATGTCAGCTAATTTTATCTTCTGAATTCTGTGGCAACTCTGAAGGAAGCAAAATTTTTATGATGCACTATCAAAGGCAAAAATTCATATGAATGCTTGTGCGTGTCATAAACATGAAATGGCATTGTAATGGGTCCATTCATATATGATCAAAACTATAAATAAGTTATGTACGAAACATGTGTGTAATGAGTATTGTGTTTTCTTTTCTTCCAAGATTATTTTTCCACTTGAGAAAAATATCACTATGTTTCTGAATAAATGAACCTTTACTTATCTGCTTGAATCAGTCGGCTAGAACAAAGCAAAGTTATCTAGCATCTCATTAAAGTCATTATCAAGTGAACTTCGTAAAGGTGATTCTTCGCACACAACTCTTTTGTACTCTCTATCTACCTACCAAAAAAAGATCTTATCGCTACTTTTCATTCATTCTCTTTGATCAATCATGCGTTTCTATTTTCTTTCTTTCTTGTGCTCATATTAATGAATTGAGGATTTCCCAATTCATTTCCGATCTCTAACAATTACATCTGCATTGAAATTGCAATGGTCTCTTTTCCTGCTGTCATCAAATTAATTAATTAAAATAGTCTTTACTTTAAATCCATCTTTCTTTTATCAATTAAACTTTGTTTTCAGTTTTAGAATCATGCTTCACAATCAGTCAAACCCTTATTTCAAAAAGATTTTTGTTTACATTATTGCACCTATATACATGAGTTGATTGGCTGAAACTGCATTGTTGGCCAATCAGAAGTCTTTGAACAGTCTTACCCCCAGTTGCAATTCATCCTATGTATTTAAGGATACCCTGTTTCCCTGACAAAGGCCTTAACGGATTGTTATGAATTATGCTACGCTGAATTTTTTAATTTCAGACGTTCCTTCCCTCTTATCTCGCCCCAACCTCTACCCTAAAGACATAAGGGTAGACCTTTGGTCTACTTTTTGCTCCTGAAAAATGACATCACTTTTTGCCTGGCCTCTTCTCTCTTTGCTCATACAAAATTTGAATTTTCCTAGTTGGTATATCCCTCAAAACTTTTGACAATTTCAAAGAAAAAACTGAAAAAAATAAATTAAACTTAATTAAAAATTTAAATTGCCCTTTGCACAACACTACACAATTTCAGACATTTTTCTTCCCCCATAACTCACGCGATATGTGGACCGAGATTTCCTCCTCCCTCCCTCAGATTATGATGTAATTCATGGACGTATTGTTGCTATTCGTCCATTTAGTCATCATTAAAAAAGCCTGTTGAAAAAATGTCATGATGAAACCAACGAATGTTATTTACTGATGTAGTGTTGAGCGCATAAAAACATTCAGATCATTCCTATCCATCACGGGCTTTACAATTTTTCTGTAATTGTAGGCAACATATATATCGATTGTTCCCTGCGAAAAGGAGCTTATTTACCTCGATTGCAACATTGCACACCACGGTTAATGCTTCAATTTCTATCAATATTTTTTAAAAGATACGCACAGATTCTCTGAAAAATTTAAAATAATTTTACGAACGATTTTAATTGAAATCACAAGAAATTTCGACGCGACATTATATTTAGTCCTATTTTTCTTTTCTTTGTTTTTACCAGAAAAAAACCATGGTCCCTGATTCTACATCGTAGCTATTAGGAAAGTTATTTTCATAATTTTATGGTGAAAATTAGAAGGCAGTCATAAATAATGACGCATCGTTTAAGTGTCGCAGAGATTTTAGCGTTCGTCCTGCCAGCGAGGGTCGGCAGGGCGGTCAAGACATCTTCGCAGTTTGACGCGCCTTCAATCCGGCGGAGCTGCAACATGCTTACACCCGTGGTCAAATAGTTGTATGTCACGCCTGCCGTAAACGAACTCAAATATCGATGGTTCCACGTGAAAAGGAGCTTATTTACCTCGATTGCAACGTTGCAAACCACAGTTAGTGCTTCAATTTCAATCAATATTTTTTAAAAGATACGCATAGAGCTCCTGAAAAATTTACAATAATTTTTCGAACAATTTTAATTGAAACCACGGGAAATTTCGACGCCACATTATATTTAGTCCTAATTTTCTTCTCTTTCTTTTAACCGGAAAAAAAACCATGGTCCCTGATTCTGAATCGTAGGTATTCGGGTAGTTATTTTTGTTTTTTATGCAGCAAATATGAAGGCAGTCATAAATAATGACTCATCGTTTAAGTGTCGCAGCGATTTTAGCGTTCGTCCTGCCAGCAAGGGTCGGCAGGGCGGTCAAGACATCTTCGCAGTTTGATGCGCCTTCAATCCGGCGGAGCTGCAACATGCTTACACCCGTGGTCAAATAGTTGTATGTCACGCCTGCCGGAAACGAACTCATATGTCACAGAAATCTTAAATTATTAATTTATGCTGTCTCTTATTTTTTCAGGGTGCTATTTCTCAAGTGAAGAATTATAACACTCTCTACAGGCGAGGTCTTGCATTTACACTAAAGTGGTCGGAAAACTCATCTCCGTTTGTCAAAGTAAAAGCTCATGACTACTTCTTTGGTTACGATGACTCGCTTGTGAAGATAGCTGGCAAAATTGCTCGATTTCTTCACAAGGAAATGCCGTTTGATAAGTTTGGAATTTTAGCAAAGGTATTCTTTTTTAATAATGACTTTTTAAAGACGAAAAACATGTCGTATGATCTTTCTGTTTGAGGAACGAAAAAATGTACTCTGTATTTTCCAAAAAACATGGTTACAAATTAAACAGATCTGCTTTTGATCTATCTTGGAAATAGAGCCAGGCCATCAGTGTGGCATATCTGTGCTGTTTTTAGTAGTTTTTCCAAGTTACCAATGAAGATCATACTGGTAACTTTGCCATGAAACAAAACATAATGTAAAAAATATTACAAAGGAAGCAGCTTTCACACCTCATATTGCATTTTATCCAATCTTACACTGCTTTCATTCCTAATCTCTCATGTTTCTCTGTACAGAAAAGTGGATTAAATAAGGATAGAATAACTATTCAGGGTGGTTACAAGGACTTGGATCATTTTGGGGATGTAGTAGCAGTGAATGGAGTGAATGAAACGGACAAGTGGAAATCTGATGACTGCAATGCCATCGAAGGCAGTTACGGCTCATTTTTCCCAAGAAAACTTTTACAAGACAAGTCCAAGCCATTATATATTTACAACAAAGATATTTGTCGGAAACTGCCGCTCGTTTATAAAGAACAAATTCCGGTAATCAAAGTTGTTTTCTTTTAATACTTATTTTCTAACTTCTTTAGCTTTTTCTAAGTCTTGCCCTAAAAAACTAATAATTATTACCAGGGATCTTAATCAATTCTCTTTCTTTCTCTCTATAAAATAATCATATTCTATTCAACCTATGTATCGTTCATTCTAGAGCACCTCGACGGTGAAACTACCAAACCACGTATCTCGGTTTGCGACGTCGCAGACTTCCTGTCATACTTTATTTTTTAAATGAAAAACTACTTAACATCCAGTCTTGAAAATTTCTGTCATTTTTCCTCTTTGTGCGGAGAAAATTCCGTGAAAATTTCAAGGAATGATATTGATTTGGTCTACTTCAAAACAATAAAATGTGAGCGTAGATTTTTAAACACCACAAACGAGATACGTGGTTTGGTAGTTTCACCGTCGACCTGTGGAAAACAGAGAGGTCAGAGAGTCACCAAAACAAGGGTTAAGACAGTCGCAAGATGTCCAGTGCAGAAGTCTAGAGCCTTAAAGGGCATACTTAAAAATCTTAAATTTAATGTCACCCAAGCAAATTATGGCTCAAAAGATGAGTCTGACACAGGTAACATTCAAGCAGATAATTATGTGATGGTGCTAAACTGAGCTGAAGTCTGATCTCTATTAGTCCCTGCGTAGTTATGTCTCAATAAGTTTTCTTTGCTTGTAAAAAACAAATTTTTCTCTCAAATATTTGCCAGAAGTATTACTATTTTTGGACATTCTGGGAGAAAGTCAGAATCCATGGCTTTCAGCTGCAAAACACCAATGTTATAGTTATTTTTGAACGCAGTTTAAATCTTTAGTATAATGCCCAAAATCTTAGTTAACAGGATCACCTTTTTTTTTTCAACCTCCTTATCTCAATGCCATTTTTTTTTTTTTTTTATTCCAATGGCTGAAGTGCAAAAGACGTATTTCCTTTGCGACACTTCAAAATCTCTGCTCCCATTTTATTTGTTGGAAGAGAAACAAAGTCAACTATGTATCTTGAAATTCCTACAAAATATTCTTTTAATTGAGGAGAAAAATCCAGGAAGTTTTCAAGAAATGAAATTCACCAGTTTTCCAATGAAAAAATTAAGTATGACACAAAGTCTGCAACGTCGCAAAGGGATGTACGAGGTTTTGAAATTAGGTCATCAATTTGAATCTTTGTCAAATCAAATTAAAAGAGGAACTTTGAGAAGAATAGTAAGTAAGCTAGGAGAAATAGAAATGGAGGATGAAGTGCACTCATTGTCTTTTCATGCACACAGATTATGTAACACTAAGAGTAAGCTAAAACCAGTTATAATGACTTGGTTTTCAATTGTATCAAATCTCTTTTTTAGTATCAAGAAGGAATGATGGCTGATGTTTATGCTTTGCCGACAAATGTCTTTGCTTCACCCAAAAGAAATAGCTACAATCAATGCTTCTGTAAGCGAGAGTTTGAAATTTCATGCCCGGATGGTATCTTTGATGCAGCCCCGTGTTCATCAGGTATTTTCAACTTCCTTGAACCTTCTAAATTTTTTTACCTTAAAGAAGTAAATAGAGGTATACTAAATTAGGGACATTTTAATGGCGGTATATATTGAATGGTCAAGTTTAATCACATTTTTGCGATTTGAAAAAAACTTGTTTACAAGTGATATATGACATGGAAACTCATGCCACAAATGAAATGTAAACTTCAGTATCAAAGCAAAAAAAATGCGCAATAATGTCATATTTTTCAGCAAGTAAACGTATGCCTCAAGACGGTTTACTTCAAATAACTGAATCTTAATTCCTTAAAAAATCTTACTCTTAAAGTGGATTGTGGAACCTTCTCTAAAACATTTGTGGTTCAAGCCGTGGGCAGTCGAGCTTTACTTTTTCTTATTTTCTGTCTGCCAGTTCCTCTGTGCACTCTTAACTTAATGATTCAATCATTTGATGTGGAGTCTTGATTTTTATAGGATGGAGCCATTTGCAAGATTCAAGTTAGATAGGTTAGATTTCATGGAATTTCTTGTTTTAAGATACTGTACCTCAACTTTTCTCTTGTTGCTATCCTTAAAATTCTTCACTCCAGCACTACACTAATCAAAAAAAGCTGTTAAACTTTTCTTTTTATGACATAACTGCAAATTTCTTCAAATTGATTTTACACTTCATTTGCTTCACATTGCGTAAAATGTAATGTTTATTGAATTAAAGTAATCCAAGTTTCCCTTTTAATTCTAATGTTCTAATGTTGCATTAGATGTAGCCCTCATAGTCCCTTTGAAGGTTTATTCAAAAACAACTGTCCACAGTTTCACACAATAAAAATTTTTTGTCATCCTTTTGATCATAGTTCCTTTTGCCTTCCATATTTTGGTGCTAACACACCAACAAACTAATGAAACAAGTTAGATGACTTTTCTTTTAGTTTCGTTGAATATTTCTAAATTTTTTTATTCATCTTGTACTTTTCCCAGGATTTCCTATGGTTTTCTCGCAACCACATTTCTTGAACGCTGACCCAATTTTGGTGGATGCTGTTGATGGTCTTTCTCCTAATGAGACACTGCATGATTTTAAACTTCACATTCATAGGGTAAGTACTCATTTTAGTATCTCTCTATTATTGACCAAGGGAAAGCCTTGAACAGAATGTTTCTTTAAAAAAAAGAAAGAAAGAAGGATACTAAGAATAGCTCACTTCAAACAACTTGATGAGCCAGTCATAAAACCATATCTTGTAATACTTCAACCGAAATTAAGTGTAAAGTAAGATTGGCACGGTAAGATATCATATACAACACCTTAAAAATGTCACCATATAACATAGCTCTCAAAGTGCCGAGCCGCTGTCGAAAAAAATAATTTTTCGGTGCCATTTTTCTTGAATACTCATTGATTAAATTCTCTCTCTCTCTATCTCGCATCTCTCCTTTATCACTTTACTTTACTTCTCACTTTTCTCATTCCTATCTTCATCTTTTCACATCTTTTGTCCATTTTTTTACAGGGATTAGGAATCACAATTGGTTCTGAATCAAGAATACAAATCAATATTCGGGTGTCGAAAGTTCCTGAACTGTCCATTCTTGATCCGTTTGAGGATGATTCAGTGCTACCTATTGTTTGGCTAGAAGTCGTAAGTTCAATTACTGTGTTCCCATCATTTTTATTTTTTAGTTTACCTTTTATTTGTAATTTTTATTTTAAAATACCTATCTGAGTGGTGGAAATCGCAAAACACATCATCTCAATTGAGATGTTTTAAGATCCCCTTTCCTATTTGATTATTAAAAAAAGGAGAAAGAAAGAAAAAAAAACCCCGATGTTCTCGTTCTAAAATGTTCTAGAATATTCTGCGCAGGATGCAGGGTAGGCAGCAAAAACTCCGAGAGATAATTTAAATATTTGCAAATGAGTCAGTTGAATCATTTTTTAAATGTGTCATTCGAAAGTAGTAAGTGACCGAAGCTTACAGTTTCTTTCCTAATTTTTTTTGATGACTGCAAACGGGAGAAAAGTTTATTTGAAAGTGCCAAAAATTAGGGTGGCCTGAAACGGCGTTTGAACCGCGCGCTCGTAGGTTTCTAATGTATACGTCTTGATCAATATGGCGGCGGAATGCGTAGTGGAAGAATACACGGCAGCGTTGCGTTGGCGGTATGTTTTTGTTGGTCTATTGGAGGTTATGTAGGTTACTTTGTTTGAGATTCATATCCTTTGTTCCTAATTCTCTAAGCTTTTCAATCAAAATGCGATACAGATGTATGTAGGATATGAAACATTCACACAGAACATACTTAACCTCAAACGAGAAATCGTAATGTCAACAGCGGCAGCGTGGCGGTAGTAAGCAGGTTGGCTTTGTTGCCGCCATCTTCCCGTTCTATGACGCGAAGATTAGAATATTCACGGCGGTCGGTTCAAACACGTTTTTGAGGACCCCTTAAAAGGAAGCGATATATCTCCACCGAGACAATTTTTCGTGAAATTTTAATGTGCGCATCGTTCTTCTCGTACTGAAAACTGTAAGATTTGACTATTTGTAGGCAAATCCCTCCCGAGCTTAACTGACTCATTGCAAGACAAAATCAAATACGCGAAACATTTTAGTAAACTCGTAAGTGAATAAATATTTGAGCTCTCTGTGATCACCAACTTTATTACTAGATAATGTACATAAAAATTCTGAGTAATTCACTTTTCACTCCTGCTTTTCTCAAAATTAACTTTCTAAGAATAATCTGAATATTTTTCTCTCACGTCTATTTAATTTTTACCTTTGACCGTACTTTAACACTACTATTTGTGGTCTGTTCCAGGGCGTCGGGAAAATTCCACCCAAACTGTTTGCATTCATTCATCATGCTTCAGTAACGGTGAACCTTGTGGAGAAAATTCTCAAGTATGGATCTCTTTGTGTTTTAATAATAATTTTAGTGCTTCTTAGTCATTCGTACTTTAAGAAACTTTTGCCTTGGTCCAGAAGACTGAAAATGAAACCCACTGGAGACAAAGCGCAAACTATCAACATGAATAATGTCCTCACCCAAACATGTACAATCAAGAACAAATTTTGAACCACCTCTCAGTGCCTCTTAATGTTTAATGTTCCTTGACTGATTCGAGCAGTGCCCGTTAGACAGAATCCTGAAAGGGTAGAATTAAAAATTGACAACCTTTTATCATTACAGATGAGTTGTCAGGGCTGAATGAACTTCTAAACATATGAAGCCATTGCTTTGTAAAAAAATGGAGGGGCATCACCTCCTTTCCCTTTGTAAGGATTGTTTGGAGTCTAAAATGTCTTGATGTGAAATTTGGCACTGAGCTGTCAACTTTGTGATAAGTCCTTAACCGGTGATTTTACGGTGGCGGCATTCTTTAAAATGTGAATTTTTTTAACTTACATCCAAAACTAGTACTCCATCTTTAATCATGTACATATTAGAGAGCTCAATTCAAAATTGTTATGCCCTTAGACAATTGACGGGTGATAATAAAAATTGTGATTTGATTTCTCGGCTCTCCGAACACTGTTGCAATGCAACATCTGTTGATTGAATTTTTGTTTTTCATTATCCTATTTTGCTCTTAATTTTTCATGAATTCATCCTCCCTTTCGTCCTCTTTGTAGATTTTTTTTGTTTGGAATTGCTTGTCAAAATATTGGACATTTTGGTCATTGTAACATCTACATGTATTTCAAATTTTTTATTTTGACAAGCTGTACAGCATGAAAATTACACATAGCTTCTCATATCTCCAATTTTGTGTTTTGATCACAAACATGATCAGCTCTCACCGGCATCGAATGCACCTATAATTCAGATTGATAAAGTGCCTGTGAAAGCTTATTTTAACTTATTTAAAATTTTTTTACTTTACTCTTTCCTGTAGATACTTTTGTTCTCGAAAAAATCCGTGTGCCTTTCTCTTTAAATTTAGATTCAATTTTTAGGAGCAAGAAGGGTTACTAAACAATCTAGAAATTTTTACCTCTCCAAAATGTTTTCTTCTTGCAGATTTATGTAAGATACTTTAGTGGGTTAGTCCTGCAGCATTTCTATATTCAACTAGTTTCCAACTCACTGAACAGCTTTTAAAAGGCTCATAGGTTTAGATAATAATAAAAGCCACCAATAGAATTTGATGGTCCATATGCATATCTTTCCTACAAGAACATATTTTGCCAATGAGCCTGTTTCCTGAAATTTTTTTTTCTTTTAACGCCTTTTTCCCCCCCTTTTCCATCTGAATTGCAAGTTGTTCTTAAATTCTCTCCTCTTTTAACCTCCTCCTGTCCTGTCAACTTGTTCTGTTTTGTCATGTTTCATCCTCAGGAATTTATAACAGAAGCCAGGCATTAGCACTAGGACTGTTTCATGTGTTTTTTAAAATTTATCTAATATTTTTAGATCTACGAGTCCAGATAAAAAGCTTTTTAAATCTTGTAAAATGAGTAGCCACACCAATATGCCAAAGTTATCAAATGGATGCACCATAGACTGTGAAGATGATGTAGAAATGTGATTCCCCAATCGGTTTTGAAATATTTAGCCTAATTTTTATTTTAGTCGTGTTAGTTCTATGAATTTATTGTATGAATGTACAAAGACATGCCTATTTCTCGTTATTTTTTAGTTTTTCTAAGTATCATCTTGTATCAGAGGCTGTTGAGTGTGAAAGACATTTTAGGTGATACCTGTCATCTACATAAATAATTGCGTTCAGTAAAATTGAAAGGTAAAAATTCTATCCATTTCAGTTTGTTTTATTATTTTCATCTCCTGCGTGTTATAGTATGAGCAGACATTTTCAGTAACTATAACTATACGTTTCGGAGGTTTTGAAGTAAAAAGGATAGTAAGGGTATATTGCCCCTGAAAGTTTCCTTTATTTGTCCAATCAGACACTGGACGTTTTTGATAGATGATTTTAGTTGTGCCTGCCCCTTTCGTGTGAATGATACCCTGGTGCATTTATTTTGATTTTTTCTTCTCCCTATTTGTCAATTTTTCCATGTTTTTATATTTATGTTTTTAACTTTACCAATTTTATGTCAGAGTCTTCTCTATACTGAGGCAATTTAGCTGCCTCCTCCAAAAAGAAATTGTCATATATTCTTGAATATTTTTTCTGTGGATCAAGAAATTCAGACTCTTTTGCAATTTTCTGTATCAGCTTGTTGGCATTTAAAGAAACAAGCAGACTCTGTGTAATAATACAATTTTATTTGTGTTTGTAAATATATGTAGTGGATCATACTTGTATATAATAGCTTCAAGTAATGTTCGATAAAATTTATGCCTGAATATTATAGACTGTCTGTTGATTATTCAATGGACAGATACAGCCAGAACTAGACTTCTGTATTTCATGTTGCCTACTTTCCTATTATGTTTTTTTTTCTTCTTCTTTTTTTAATACAGAAGAACTAAGTGATATAGCTTGTTTGAATATTTTGTAATTTTCCATGACATTATGGATAGTAAATTCATAAAATTTCAAAGCAGAATGCTCCTTAGTTTTCCTGTAAAAAAGGAAATATAGAAAGAAATTAGACAACAAGCAATGCAGATAGGCTAATTCTAGCCAGGGCAATCCATATGTGCTCCGTGATATGATTTTTTATATTATTTCCGTTGAAAAGATTTTGTATAAAGTTTTAGCAATAACTTTTTATGAATCAAATGAATTTAAATGTATAAATGAGTATTCTTTGTTTTGTTTTAATGGGTGGCCAGTCTTTCTGAGAGATGCGAAATTCCCTGATTCTCTAGTCTCTTGCAGAAAAAAAAATGACATAATTTCTTTCTATTTCATACTTTAAAGATATTCCTCCTTTCTTTTCAACATTCCCATTTATAAAGGGAACTAGCCACCCTACTTTGTGCCTTAAATGTTAAAACAAATGAAATTTCGGGGCTTTTCATCTGTAGCCTGTTGAAGTTGTAAGATTGTCCTCTTGTAATTCGTGGATTTATACAATTAAATGCTGAACGTTTTGATTCATAGATTACTGTAAGCTTCTCTCCATGATGTGAATTTTAGTGTTTTGTTCAATTTTTAAAGAAAAAAATTTAGCTCCTATTACTCATCTCTCCTCCAAGAGAGATCTCACGCCTTCAATTTGCACTTTAGTCATTCTCTAGCCAGTTTAAGTATGTTAATCAAAATGTGCAGCTCTTAGATTTTTTTTCTCAGAGGTCAAAACAATTCCTGTCAATCCTCACAACCCATGATAGCCACAAGTTTCAAATTTTATATTTTTTTTTTTTTTTTTTTATTGTTACTGTAAACTTGGGTTTTACTATTCATTGTCATACTTTTGAATGCTACTTTTGCAATAAAAAAATGAAAATATTGTTTTAAATTCATAGTCTAATTATTCTCTTAAATCCAATCCCACTAATAAATACTTTCTCCAACTTGAAAAGCAGTGAACTCAGTACTCACATCACCCTGAAATTTAAGAAGGCAAAAGCACTACAGTCTATGCCTCAAGGAATCACCGTTCCAGAGGCTCATTAAGTTTTAAAAAGTAAATTCTTAAGAATGAAATTGCTAAAATTTGAAAACTCAATCTTTCCTTGCTTAATTATTTGTCCACAAATAATTAAGCAAAGAAAGATTGAGTTTTCCATTTTTAGCAATTTTATTCGTAATTTTAGTGTACTTTCCTTGTTTTCTAGCCCTCCCTGTTGTGTGTGTTTGAGTGCGGGTTGCATACTCTAGCCCCTGAAAAATATGAAATATTTCACTGAAATTTCCAATCTTTCATTTCTTTCTTACGTATCTTGCCATCCTGCCCAGCAAATTTTTGAATGTAGGAACGTCTTGAGAGCAATTTTAAGGTGATTCGTCAAGCTCAAAAGAAGTGGTCGAACTGGCATGCGATATATCGCATCTTTTAGGTCAAAAATCTCGGCAGATTTTGAATTTTCAGTAAAGAAAAGGACGATAGCCCCTGCGCATGAGCCTAAAGAATCATTCTAAACCTTAAAATCGGCAAAATTCAGAGAAATGAAAGCAGGATAGTGTTTGGAAAAAAACCTCGCATTCGATTCAGCTATCGATTTCGGTATCGAATGCGAGGTTTTTTTCCAAACACTATCCTGTTTTCATTTCTCTGAATTTTGCCGATTTTTGGGTTTAGAATGATTCTTCAGGCTCATGCGCAGGGGCTATCGTCCTTTTTTTTGCTGAAAATTCAAAATCTGCCGAGATTTTTTACTTAAAAGATGCGATATATCGCATGCCAGTTCGACCACGTCACTTGAGCTTGACGAATCACCTTAAGCCATTATTCTCAATTACAAGTTAAACGGAATAAAATATTACAGATGATGACAGAAATTTCGCCAACTTTTTTCTCTTATATGCCATACCTCGGCCTCCTATGGTGTAGTGGTTGTAGCGCTGGCTCTACAATCAGGAGGTCCCGGGTTCGATTCCCGGCTAGGCGACCCAGGCTAGGGCTGGTACATGGTAGGGACGGAGGGGGGAAGGGCTCTAACTGGAAGCGCAAGGATTACCACTTGTGTGGTATTTGAAGCAGTAAAAAAAAATAAAAAACCTGAAGTGGGTTTTTCTGAATTTTCTAATACTTTTCGGAATTTTAATTGTGGTTTTTAGCATAAATTACAAAAGAATCAATGTACCACACATACTGGAAATTTTTAACAGTTGCTTAGAGGTAGAAATAGTTGGGAGAAGCTTTTACTCCGTTGGCCCGAGAAAATCGGACCTTCTAATAGACCCGGAGGGAGGGAGGGGGGGGGTTGTCAGAGACAAGCGGATGTAAAATTCGAGTTCATGCAGTGACTCTATATTTATGATGGCGTACCTAAGGAGGGTCTCGGAAAATTTCTAAAACTACTTAGAACAAGAAAATCGTTTATTCAATACAATTCTCATGAAGTTTGTCTCAAAACTAATTACTAGATTCGGTCCTTGGATTTTTTGAAGAGGGCCAAGCAGAAATANGGGGGGGGGGGGGGGGGGCAGTTCCGCCCATGCTTATCCATTCATAGACGTCTACACGAGAAAATTAAATAAGGTTTCGTGCAATTTTCAGAAATTCTAAAACTTCAAGACCTTGGGGGAAGCACGAGTACAGATTTCAACATCAACTTTCTCAGGAGTGGAAAGTGAGAGGAGATTGCGAGAAGGGTTCGTCGATCTCTACGTGGGGGGTGAACTGACCGGACGTCTCTCTGTCTGAAATTGAGCGGTACGCTTTTTATCAGTTCTCGAAGGAATAGAAAACCGAAAAGCAAAAGCTAGCGCAACAGTCCGACGCTAATTTCGAACAGGATGCAGTCTGTCGAAGGTACCCTTGCGTGCGCCAATCAGAATCAGTCTCAATCGGGCGACGCTACGCCGGGCCCCCTACCCCATGCAAATCATACCCTGAGGATTCGCACTTTTCCGTCAGCGATCGTCCCGGTCGGTTGCAGTCTCGCGTCCGGTCGGAGTGATTCCCTCGTGGTTTCAAGTGATTTTCCTTTTATTAAAAGTTTTAAGACTCTTAGAACTCTTCGAATGTGTCTCGTTACCTCGTCTGTTGTGCGAAAACTCTTTGGTGCATGTTAAATTGATCGTGTGAAGTAATTAGCCTCTTGAATTGAGTCCTTCATCGTCTCGAAGTAGACACCTCGTGCTCGGCGTTTGAGCAAAATGATTGCCAATGGACCCCCACAATTTCCATCAATTCTCGTAGTTTCACATGATTTTCTTGTTTCCGGCGTTTATTTTGGCTGTGTGTCTCGGTACGTCGTGTGTTTCGCGTAAATTCTTCGGCGATGTAAGCGTATACAAACTATCGTGTGTGTTCGGTAATTTGTCACCTCGATTGGACTATGGCCGTCGCTGAGAGGCCTTCTGTTTCACGAAATTCATTGCCGAAATCGTGTCCGGCGTTTGAGAGAATTGAACCCCGAAACTTTCATCGAATTTCGTCGTTTCCAGTGTTTCGAGTTGACATCTATGCTATGTGAGCTTCTCCATTTCACCATGAACTTACCCGCGCGCGTTTTCCGTTTTCCTCACTGTCCAGCGACCTGTTGTGCGGCGACATTTCGGGAGTCAGAGTGATTTCGTCCCTCGTGTGTCGGTGTGTGTGTGTGTGTTTCCGAGCAATCCAGCATATTATCGGCTTCGCGTTTTGAGTGTCTGCGTCTCCTTCTCACTCTATTTCGGTTAATTTCGTGCCTATCATTCGGAGGAGTCTCATATATCCTGGTCACACTTAGCTCCCTTTGATGCGTATGTATTTTGGCGTTGGTCTGGATTCAGGTCAGATTTATAGCACATAATATGTATCCTATTCGATTCTGCTCAGATTTGGTGTCATGTTCGCAAAATTGTACGTAACTCATATTTTACTCTCATTATGTTTTCTGTCCTCTTCCTCCTCTCTTTTTCCACTCTTGCTTATGTAGTACTTCTCTCTCATTATTGTGCCTCATTTTCACAGTACCTATACTCCCGTAACAGTCAAAAGCAAGTACTTAGGGACAAATCTTGCTGTCATGTTTCCTTAGCTAATTACGTATAATTCTGCTTCATATAGCAACATTTGTTATCCCTCCTTTTTAGGCCAGAAATTTCTCGTGTAGTACTGTACACACATACAGACCCAGTATAATTAATGAAAACATTATTTTTAGGTGTTAGAGTTAAACACAATTCAATGAATTATATTCCTAGAAATTATCTGCCGAAATATCTGGAATTATTTAAGCACCTCTTTTAGCCCATATTTCTAAGATGTAAAAGTCATATTGCTTCAATTTGAATTAAGTAATCAGTTAAAAATTCCAGCGACAACTGGACTAGGCTCGGAAGAGCGGACTGTATTTGTGAGGATGAGAGGTTTCCAGACTTCTGATTAAACTGCCTTGAGTCAAAGTCTGTATACTCTCTGATTTTACAGGTGGAAATTTCTCAGGATTTTCTTTATTTCAGCTTATTCTTAGTCAGCAATAGTGTTTTCTGCCTCATGCCTTTACATTATCTCCTTGAAGTCTATGAATATTTTAATTGAAAGTTCCTAGTAGGTATTCTGGGCACCCGTAATTAAAATGTGTAGGTACACTCCCCCCCCCNCCCCCCCCCCCCAAATATTGTACAATAGTCTCCTAAAGAGGTAGCCTCTCCAAGTAATGGATACTCTGCATAATTTAAAGTAGCTTCATACATTGTTTGCATTTTCTCATTTCATCGCATTTATGAAGACCGGGAAAAGTTTGAGATTGTTCGAATTTTCATGGGTAGAGTTAATCCTTGGGTTTATTTTCAACATTCTAAAGCTTATTTGAATTTTCTCTTTCGTCGACTTAGCCCGTTAGATGAAATTGAAGAGAGAAGAAAAGGATAAATGAAAGAGAGGGAGCGAGGATCCCTTGAAAGTCTCAAGAACTTGGAGTGCGCTTATCTACAGCTTTTGGTGTGAGAGGAGCCTCCAAGTGCATCTCGGAGAGATTAAAATTTCCAAGATTTCCCGGAAAAAACCCTCCGAAAATTCTCTCTGTGCTGAAAAGACACCCCCCCCCCACNACCCCCCCCCCCCCACCCAGAAATCTGATGTAGGTACACCCATGTTCACACGTTTCCTGAAAATTTTTGATTAGATTTTCTCTGAAAACTGAGAAGATGTCAAGAGGGTCATTTCAACATAATTGGGGGGAGGGAGAGGTTGTTCGGAGGCGGTGAAATTTGCCGCTAAAAAAACAATCTCCGACAGTTATCAAATAATGCCAAACATTTCTCTTTCAGGAGGGAGGAATTTTTTCCCCCCCCATAATTGCTCTAGCCAAATGATCCTCTTGAAAAGTTTGAGTTACTCCTAAATGATGTTAGAATTAATGATTCTTAGGTCAAGAGTGGTCACCCCCAACCCCGCCCGTACGAATTGAGAAAATTATTGTATCACAATTATTCAAATTTGCTGGCGGAAGAAAAAATTAATTCCGCCCGAAAAATCTGTTCAAGAGAGAGATAGAGAGGATTTTCGTTAGGTCCGAATGCATGCCAGTGTGATAGTTTTGGCGCGAAGAGGGCAGATAGGAATTGGCGGGAACTTAGGTAAATTCACTCCGTTCACAATCAGCAGCTCACGCCAGTGCCCACCCAGACACCGGATGCCAGGTTACGCACACAGACGCACCTTTCTAGGAGTTCTTTCAGGCTCCGAGGATTTCAGCAGGTAGATCCAGACATTCAGCCCCTCACTCTACCTCGGCGAATCGTTTGTTCATAGTTTGCCGATAACACATTGCTTTTCCCCAGCTCAACCTCACTTTCCGTCTTCACAGGGTCAGATAAGAAGCGTCGAATACCTCTCACCAACCCCCCCCCCCCCCCCCCCCC